TTTTAGTTTTGTTTTTGAGATGTCCTTATGGAATTGGATGAAATGAGATTGTTGACAGTTTCTACTACCTAAGTAATAATACAACAACAAACAAAGCCCTATTCCAAAAGATTGAGAGGAAAGTTTACAATGTTGTGGGTGAACTGACAAATGGACCTGGTTTGGCTGGTTTTGGAATTTAAATGATGATTTTGTTTGTGATATTTTGATTTATCTTACTTTATAATCATTGTGAATTCTCTTATAACTAGTGTTTTGTTTTAACAAATAAACCTCTAGCAAAAGGGGGGAAGGACAAACATATATAGTATATTGAAGGTGGTATAAAAACTAGGCCAAATTCCGATACTAGTGCAAGTTGCAAATATTTTCTAAGTGGTGATGTACACTCATATAATAACGAAGTTAAAGTCAATTTTTTGTGTCAAACATGAACCCCTTACCCACAATACAAGTTTTGGCTTAATGGTGATTCATCAAATTTCATTTATGGACCTGTATTCATTTATTTAGTCAAATCACTTCCGGGTACTAATCGAACAAGCAATCAGATTATTTACTTATGCAAAACCAAGGTCATGCTAAAAAAAAAGGACAAGGTGTATATGGTTAACTGTCTGAAATCTGATGCAGGAATTGTCAATTTGAAGACAAAAAAACTTGTCTGTCAAATGACTCAACTCTGCAAAAATATAATAAAGTTTAGAAAGAATAGCATTAATAAAAAGGCCCTCATAAATTTAATGTCAACAACTTGCCTTATTCAACTGAGTTACTGAAATAACCAGAAATGCTACATTTGCAATGTCATCCATTTTCATATAGATAATAAAAATAAAGAAACTATGATGTTGATATTTTAAACTAGAAAGTAGGCTCCATATGTTTATCATTAAAGAATGAGAGCATAGTCCAATATGCCTCCTCCAAAATTGCTCATTTTTTCTCCTAGTTGATCTATACCTGCTGTGAAGTTCTATTTGGCTGCTGCGGAATATTGTCAGCAGGAAACTGTTTCGATGCATCAGATAGTGTTGCAGCAGCTGCTGCTGGCATCATAGATTGGTACTGAGGAGGCAATGGAGCAGTAGTTTGCTGTTGTGTGTAGTATGCTTGGTCTTGCACAGTGCCGCCATATTCATAACCATAATTTGTAGTAACTGAGGGAGCTACAGCAATAGGCTGTTGTGTATGATGGTGGACTTGAGGCATACCAACATACTGTTGCTGAAATTGATTGGTTGACATTTGAACAAATGCAGGATTTGAACCATCCTTGTATGCTGTTGGATTAACTGACTTAGTAGGGTAAATAGGTGGAGTGCCATCCTTGTATGCTGCTGTGGCAGCAACACTTTGGTGGGGTATTAGTGGCCTACCTGAGGGTACCACATTTGGGTCACCTATATTAGATTGCAATGCTATGTTGTATGGCTGTGTAGGTCCAACAGGCATTACATAAACTGGGTATTGCTGCTGACCAATGGGATGGTGAAGTTGTTGCTGTGATGGTTGGGCATAAACTTGGTAGTAAGATGACATCGGTGGCATTTGGCCTGTGGCTGTAGGGTGGTGGATGTAGTGACTGCTGGCATGTACAAATTGTTGTTGATGTTGCTGATTTTGATCCATTTGTGGGGGTAATGTGTAACCAGAATCCTGAACTTGTTCCCTTTGTAGTATTGGTATGTGATCAGATATTTCACTCTTAGCTTTGTTGTCTATCTGTGCAACTTGGACTTGTTCTTGATAGTAAACAGCATTGGAGAAAGAATTTATAGATGCAACACTACCATCACTGTAAATATTAAACCAAAATCAGTAATTTTAAAAGACTCATCATCACCAACTAAAAATGGCAACATTTTGATTTTTTTTTGTCTCCAGAAAATTAACCACACATAATAATTTGAAAACACATTGTCATTGCCTAAATTCAACATTGTAAGAATACAAGATACCAAACAAAGACTAATATATTGGCATCCCAGAAAAGGAGCCAGAATCAGAAAAAACATCATTCATCTAAAACAAAAAACAAATAAGTAATATGGTAATATCAAAAGAATCACACACAAAAAGATAGATACCTTGTAACTGAATCTGGAGAAGGAAAGCTCAAACCACCACTAGTCCTTGGTTGCACAAGCTGCAATGGCAAAGGAGGTTTCCGAAACCCAACATGTGCACCTTGATCTGTTCTTTCATCATCAGAGACAACCCTATTCATATTTTCACTAGTAGTCATCATAGCTGCTGGGATTGCAGGCACAGTCACAGAAGAAGAAACAACAACATACCCTTCATCTTGCTGAATCCTACTAGTAGTAAGACCATTTTCATCAACCCGAACCCGAATCGGAGGCAGAGTATTAGCCATTGAAGGAGAAGAACTATTTGATAAAATGTTCTCCACATCATGCAAATTCTTAACCTTGTTATTGTTATCACCCTGAGCCTGAGTCTCCAAGTTGTTGCTTGAAGCACTAGGAGTAACAGTAACACTAACACCATCAAGGTTCACAAAGCTATCCGCTACAGCAGATTCTGACACTACCCTTGATAAGATCCCTGAATTGTTCAATGCATCAACGAACCACGTCTCAGACTTTGAATCATCAAGCAGTGATCCCATTGAAACCGTGGCCTCTGGTTTACTGAAGAACAAAAACACCCTAAGTCGCGAAGTTGAAGGTTTCAATGCAGAGGCAGATAAGGCTGCAATTCGATCATACTCTTCGATCATGTTGTCAAGGTCTTCATCATTTGTGACAGTGATGAGATTATCAAGGTCCTCATTGGGTAGCTGGTACTTCATGCTAAAGGGTCTTCCATGAAGAATTGTATGTGAGAGGCGTGTGTAGAGTTCTTTCAGCGAGGAAAGTCTATCCACCACAACGATTCTGGTTTCGCCACCAATGTAACAGAGGGACTTATCATGAGGGCGTGGCATTATATGGCCGCCGTAGCTGCACATGAGGCGGAGCTTGCCACCAGGTACAGGTGGAAGAACCTCATCATTCCAGGGTGAAGGTTCCGCCGCAGAATCAAGCGTTGATGGTGGCAATGCAGATGGAATTGGTGGATCCATTATAATGAGAACAGAGTGAAAACAGAGGAAGTTGATGATAGTGTTATATGTTGATGTGTAAGTTGGACTAGTTCCTTTTTTAATGGCTTTTTTTAATTGGCAAATAGGAAGGAGAGTCCGTTACAACTTGTTTGGAGCTGTATTTAGTACTAATCCAGCTTTTGCTTAAGTATTCAATCACAAGTTTCAATGGTCAAAATATCTGAAAATAACAAATAAAAAAATCAGCCACAGATTCAAAGTAGTAAAGTGACACAGCAATTGTATTTAGGGGTACCTGCTTCATTTTCATTGTCAATTCTGAAATTTTAGTTTTTCTATCAATCTTTATGATTAATTTTAAAAAAAATGAGTTACATAAATCACCTGAATGAGTAGAAAATGTGACACAATTAACTTACATGCAGGTATGGAAAAATTTCATATAAATAAATAAAGGAAGCAGTGAAGGTAAAAGCATTTGATTTAGGTCCATGAGTAACAAGATATGTCTCCTTGTACCCTTTACTTAACATTGTTTCTCTGTATATTCCCTTGAAAGGTGATTAAAGTAAGCAGAAGCACATGCTGATTATTGGTACTTGTGCATACATTGTAATTTACAGCTTCAATCAGCTTATTATAAACCAAACTATCTACCTTATTATCAAGTTTTAGACTTTCTGTCCTTTTGAGTTGGCTTGCTTAAGAAGAACACAATCCTAGGAGCAACTATAGGAGAGTAACGTGGTCAACACCAAACAAGGTTTCTTATTAGCACAAGTGCTTCATTATTTTTATTTGTTCAAGTATTAATAGTACATGATTAGAGATTATAATCACATTTAATTCTAGATTCTCACGTTCATGGGTTGGAGTGCTTGAATTTAGTAATAAGTGTGTTTAGGTTTCAACCAAAATCATTAATTTGCAGTAGTGCTCATAATCGATTTATATATTTTATTATTTGAATATCAAAATTTAAATATTGTATTTGATATCATATACTTTTATCTTTATCTCATACACGTATTTTAAAAGTATGTCAAAATAAAAAACATCATTTGATAATTGACAACTGTATTTTGATGTTGATAAAGCATAATCCTTTATATATTTGGAAAAAGAGATGAATGTATATGCTATAGCCTTAAGTCAGTACTCATTCCTTTAAACTTTCAAAGGTGATATATACTTTGAAGAAAACTATGTTTGGGAGATTGCAAGTTAGTTTTTGCATCCCAAAATTGCAGTCTGTTAATATTATTTCTGTTATGATGCAAATATAGTTGACACAAATAAGCATTTTCACTTTTCCTAACTTCATTACAAAGCAATATTAAAGTTTTTATCACCCTTGGTGCTTCTAATTAATTTCCTAGTTTTATTTGGTTACATTTATCAACATCAAAGTGCTCTCCTCCTTTACTTGTAAACCCTTTTATTACACTCCTACCCTTTTTTATATAAGAAAACAACCTCAAGTTTATTTGCATTGAATGCTTCATCTAAACAAAGCTCCATTAATACTGACCTTCAATAAAGCTTGGAGTACTACCAGCTACCAAGAAATAAACACAGATTAAATACCAAAACTAACATATTTGAAGTTGGTTACTAAGAACAATTCATGTCTTTCCAGTCTCAATTAATGTTGTGTTAGGTTGTTGGGGCTGGTAAAAGAAACAAAAGCAGGAGATTATGACTAATAAGTAGTAACTAGTACATGCATTTGTGCTTTGAGTATTACTTTGCTACTAAATAATAATTATGGTGAAAAGGAAAGTATATTTAATTAAATAGTAATATTTGTGAAACCAACTACCACCTCTTCAAGTTAGTTGGCTTTAAATTTGAACTTAATTAGAGTCCCTTATCATACGATGCATGACAATTAAATCGAATCACTGTTTTTACCTTTCACAAAAGGTTATTATTTATTGTACATATACTTCATCCATACCTTATAGATATATAGTTCACTATGGAATATCTCATCCATTTCGCTCGTTGTTAGTGTCACACTAACATCAATTATACTTGGTTTTGTTCCTTTGTGTAGAAACATTATGAAGAAGCCCAAAAGGAATGGAACATATCATAGGCTCAAGGAGGTAAGTGATTATTATTGTAGCCAAAGTTCAAATGTTGATATGTTAAATAGTCCAAATGTGAAAATGGTTCAAGTTCAACAAAAGATTAGGTTGTCCACAAATATATTGAAAAGGTTCAGAGATGCATATGTAGAGGGTATGGTTTGTTTTGCTGAAAATGTTGCTCATATGAACAGTAGCACTAGCAGCAATATTTGCTTTGAAAAGAAGATCCATGATGATGATGATGTTCAGTACTTGACAGCTTCATGAAAGTTAGGAATTTGTTTGAAGCTTCTAATATATGTAAGAAAGGAAGCACTTATGTAAATTTCTACTTCAATTATTTTTTTGCCTCCTATTAGGCTTTAATTTGCTTAACATAGGGTATAAGCATAGAGATAATATATAATTTTGGGGTTGATATGATAAATGTGGGATAGGATATTAGTAGGATAAGTTTTTATCAGAGTGTTTTGTTGATGATATTATATTATCATATCCTTGAAGATGAGATAATAGCAAGATATAATATAAATTATGTGTGAACATCGATAGAGCTCACTCACTAATTAAGTTCCTCTACATGAATCGTTATAAATCTCTGTAATATATTATCTCTATTGAAAAACATATAATATAAATTATACTTAAATGCATAATTACACTTATATCGATCATAATATAACTAACAAAAAATATCATAATTATAGTTTATTTTATTCTTTTAATTTTATACATTAGTCTTTATAAAATTATGTTATTCCATATTGCAGAGACAACTTTTCACACGTTGGTCTCAATACTTTTTGGGTTTTTATACTAATATGATGAGTATGATTAAAGTGAAACTCTATTTTCATTAAAAAAAACTTTTTGTATCACATATAAATAAAATTCTCATATTACACCCCAAATATTCATTTTAGATCTATTAACACAAGAGGGATAAATGTATGCAAGTTTTTTACAGTTTTATATCATGTATAATAATGGTGGATTCCTAAATATAATGGGAGAATTCTATAAAAGCACCTTAAACTTTATATTTTTTATAAATAGGTATTATAAACTATTTTTACTTCTTAATTAGCCTTTAAATAATAGCAACAACGTAACATTAAAAAAACCTCTTTAAAGAATAAAAGTATTCAATAGTAATGCATAATGAAATGTTTAACGATGTATATAAATATTCTTCTAATTATTAAAGAAAAAAACTTTTTATACTTGCGAGATAATGGAACATTTATTGTTTTATTTAATATTTACATCATTAAATATTGTAGATGGACTGTTGATGTAATAATGTGCATTATATTTTAATACAATATCGGAACATATTCCTTCAATTCAATATATTATGTTAATTTTCTTAACTAAATGTCCAATTGTCCATTCACCTTCAAAATATCATCCTCAATTTCCTTAGTTGGGAATAACACTATTTTCCATTCCCCCATTGGTGATAATATAATGAGCAACCTTGTCACTTCCCAAGCAAAAATGTGGCTATCATTCATTCCTCCTCCAAATTGTTTGGTGTAGAATTCAATGAGACACCAAAATATATTATATATATGTGCATTCATGATGATTAGAATTTAGAAACTATACGCACTGTACAATGGGAAAGAGAAGAAGAATACTGTACCATAGCTTTCACAAGATACTTTGTGTGGGGGAAGGTGATTTTTCATTTGCACTTTCTTTGGCAAGGAAATTTGGTACAGCTACTAACATTGTTGCTACTTCTCGTGATTCTAGAGGTATATATATATATAGGACTATTTTCAACTAATAATAATGTATGTGACCATTGTATTGTACTCAATAAGTCTATATATATACTAACTTTAGTTTTTGAATGAAATTAATACTACAAATTGAAGTGTCTCTAGAGGAGAAGTACCAAAACGCATCAAGGAATTTGAGTGAATTAAAGAGTCTTGGATGCACCATTGTGCATGGAGTGAATGTCCATACCATGATGCATCACCCGCTTCTAAATAGGTTAAGGGATTTTGACAGAATAGTCTTCAATTATCCTCATGCTGGTTTCATTGGTCGACGTGAATTCGAATACCGTCAAATTAAGTAAGTTACTCAAAAATATATACAATTAATCTCTACACTTTTGTATATTATTTTTTCACACCCCTTTATAACTATTGATCATTCATCAATATTTTTTGTAATTTACTATATAAAAAGTTGTTTTTAACCAATAATGAAAAGTGAGTTAATATATATTGATATAAAATAAACAACAGGCGTCACAGGAAATTAGTGAGTGGGTTTTTAAGAAATGGTATAAACTTGGTAGCTGAAAAGGGACAAATTCATATAACCCATAGAGCAGATTATCCTTACAGTGAGTGCAGAATTGAAGAGTTGGCAGAATGGGAGGAATTGATTTTGGTTGGAAAAGTGTTATTCAATCCACTGCGTTATCCAGGATACATTAATAAGAAAGGAGATGGGCGTCATTGTGACCATACTTTCCCTATTGGGGACAGTTATACTTTCATGTTTGCAATGGCTTCAACCTAGCTTTAGCTATATATGTAGGTTTTTTCTCTACTAATTTGTGTAATATGGCACTACATTATTGGTGAATTTGAATGAATTTTAGTTCATAATTAATCTAGTACTGTAGTTAACTTATTTACTCTAATTTGAAAACATATGTTTCTGTTATATTAAAATTTTAAAAAATGTGCTCATTGCTCCATTATCTATTTTAATTGTTGTACTTTTTAACATATATGTATGACTGAACAAGTAAGACCCATGTTCAAACATGTTTTGGTTTTTCTCTACTTAGGTGTTCACTTAAGGCTAACCTCGAATCTTGTCTATTTAATTTGTTTTTGGTGTTGTTGCTCAACATTTCCAGAAACTTTAATCTCCCTGTTTTTTGGGCAAATATTTTGTTATATTTAGAAGTACGGATAAATGTTGAAGTAAAATATATATGAATCTTTCTGAAGAAAAATATATATGAAGAATACAAGTATAACAAGACATATGTTAACTATGGCATATCGGAGATCTTGCATACAACTTAACATGTTATACAACTTAGATTCCTTGCTCAAGAGAAATAGAGGGAAATATAAATTGAATAATTTAAGTTGGGTGGTAAAATAGTTGAAACCTATACATGACCACCTAAGGACCTAAGAATATGGTTTGATCACTCAAATTCTTCATTACCAATCAAGGTAAAGTTATCATTAAAAAAGTATCATTACCTTTAATAGATCACTTATCTTATTTGGTGTCTCAATCTAATTAAAGTGATAATTCATTAAAAAATTCTTAAAAATATAAACTAACATTTTTATATTACTTGTTGGAATTTGATTAATTAGAGATATACAAATATAATTTTTCTTGGTACATGTAATCTTTGTTCATTTAATACATAAAAAATGTAATATGGTTCACTTATTTTTGATAGAGGTGTGCAAAATAAAATAAATAAAATTAGAATAAGGAATATATTCACTTGACAAAAGCGCATAGTTAAGAAATGAGATGGCTGTAGATTTTGAATTAATAAGTAAAAAAGCATTCACATTTAAATTATTTAACTGGTTGCAATCTTCATGCATCTTATTAGATTCATAAGGTGTCAAATTCTATTACATTTTATCAATTAAAGGTTGACCATCCTTAATCCTTATATGTAAACTGACTTTAAGGTAGATAGATCCATAATAGAATATCATTAACATTTTGGGGTCCATTACCTTTAATGAGGAATATGTGGCTATGCCACCCAACCAGGTGCAGCGGCTGAAACAGGTGGAGGCGGTGGACTTGGCAAGTGACCCCGTTTCCTCATATGGACATCTACAATTAAGATCACTACATGTTTTCAACACTTCAGCTTTTCACCATGTTTTAACTTTCAAATACAAACAAAGTTTAATTACTTTTACATCACAGATTTAACATCCATCCACTATGATAACCAAACATTAAACATAAGTTTATATGTCTGAAACATTATTATATAAGTTTAATATCTATGTATAAAGATTTATACATAATCAGTGCATCATTCATCATTCACTTGTATTACTTTTATTTAAAAGTTAATGGTCATTGAAAAAATGGATGGTGGTTGATACAGTGACAGTATAAATATATCTTAAACTACCAATACATACATCTTTTTCTCTTTATTATATACATGTATATTTATATATGCAAGTCTTTGTGTATATATATGCATGAACGTTTAAATTAGGCATTAAGACAAACCTGCACTAACTGGATACAACTGCAAAACCAAAGTAAAAGTGATTGTTATTAGAATAATAAAAATTAAAGAGATGGAAGAGAGACTTTGGATATGAGCCATATCACAATGTGGAAACTTAATTAGCCATTCTTGCTACTGAAGTAATTGAAATTTATAATGTAAAGGTGTCTGGAAAGTCATACTTTTATATCATTCGAACCTTAAAGGAAATTCATGTAGAAAGAGACCAATTAGTTTTGTATTATTAAATAAAATACTAACCATGAATTTTTTTCAATCCCATATTAAGTTGTCCTTTAATTTTGGTGCCCGGAGAAATATTCAAATGCGTGAAGCAAACTTCATCTTGTGATATATTGGAAGTCAAGTCATACTTAACATTTCATTTTAGTTGATAAGTTGACTAAAAAATCAAAGAAAATTGAAGATGCAATGTCATTTATATCCTTTTTATTTATGATGAGATTATACTTTTACTCTTAAAAGTAAAAGAATAAAAGAAAGGAAATTGTTCAAACTTGTGAAATTCACATGAAACAGGTATATCAGTGCTGCATGGTTTGCAACTATATTAAGACTATTAAGACAAGACATATTCAACACAGGAGAAGACGTCCACAATATTGTCCCTTCTTTATAGATAGCTTGATTTTTCAAATGAAATTGGATCTTCCACTAAAATGAATGGATCAAATTGATAATAACCCCTATAATTTTACTCTACTGTCAACTAATGCCTCCTCTTCAACCATTATATTTTTCACAATCATTTTTGTTTGCATCCAGTACCAAAATTTCATTTAGTACAACATAAATTAAAAATATATATAGTTACACCCATGCAATTGACAAAGCTGATCATACAACTCTAATGAAACCAAAAGTGTAGTTAGCTATTAGATGCTACAAAAATTTTAATTTCTAATCAGAAGCATCTATGTGTCACAAAATGGAGTAGCAGTTTGAAACAAAAGAAGTACTTAAGTATCTGCATCATGATTCATCATGATACATAGATTTAATAATATCCCTATATGATAATCATAATCATATGTACCAAGAAGAATTGTAACACAAAATATAGTTAACTCATTTATATAATGTAACTGAGTTATTATGCACCACTGAGGGATAACATAATGATACCCTTCATTTCATGGTAGCTTTCTTGAATGGTTTGGGAACTCAAGTTGAAGTTTAACATGGTAAGATACAGAAACTTCACTTTGTTTCTCATCAATCTGAGTAAGCATTGCTACACCACGAGCAAATGCAAAGGAAC